GCATGAATTTTTTCTATAATCAAATACTGAGTATGGCAAATGGCATGAGGCAAATTAGTTTTCTTTTTTTTAGTTGTTTCTACATAATTAAACTTAAATGGGCAACGCCCGTCGCAGGATATGGGCTGTGATTGTTAGAACGATTTTTTTGGATTTCCTGGTGAGATGGAGTACCAGGTATTTTATGGATCCGTTGATGAGTACCTTACTTTATCAGATCCAGAGCTCCAAACACAACAGAAACAATTTTAGGTTGTTTTTTCTTTCTTTCTTTTTTTTTTTTTTAAGTGGCACATTTTTTTTTCTCGTTTTCTTCTTTTTTGGTAGAATTCGTTTTTGGATGAAATCTTCAAAACCAAGCACAGAATTGATTTTGTCACTTGATACGCTCATGTCAATCAGTGTGCAAAGATTTTTTCGTTTCTGTCTTTGACAATAATGTCTGCAGGATTTGTTTGTATTGTTCAGCCTTTGTTGATAGAAAAAAATCCCAACGGATGATAATATCGTTTTTCTTTAATCTGTTCACTGAACTACAGATTCAAGATGATTTTATTCCAATTTGCAGCATTTCTTTGTTTTTTAAATCCCGTAGTGATGAGAGATATACCAATGCTGATATTGGCCTACCCTACTCATGGTGATTCTTGTGCAGAGCAGGTGTCAGATATGAGATAAGTGTCAATGTATTGGTCTCTGAACGTACATTTGGTGGGGGGGATACTATTATGTAAAATACTAGCTTGATAGTTGTGTATAAGCAGGCTCTGTGCAGTAAGAGTAAATCAGCCTCACCCTCACGTCTTGAAATCCTGCTGGGTTGCAAATTGATCTACACCAGCATTTTTTTTTCGGAGAAAGAAATGCCCATGTAGAGATTTTCGGTGGCTTTTTTTTTCTATATTCTTTAGGCCTAAATTTTTCGTTTCTTGTTTCAGTATTGATTTTGTAGCAGTTCTATTTAGGTCAGCGTTATTTTCAAGACATGTCCTGAATGCTTTTGCATAATTATAGGCTTTAATTTATACAGAATGTATCTTTTAATTTTTAGATTTTCCAATAATTTTTTTGCATTAATTTGCTTGAGTTCCTCTAAGTTCCACTTTATCGGGAAGGAAGGACTCAACACTTTCGACTCAATACCACCGACTCAACACCTCCAGCTGAACATCGCTGACTGAGCGCCGGGACAACACTGGACTGAGACAACTCAGAACCGAGACAACTCAGCACCAGGAAAACATAACTTTTTTTCATAACCTAATAAAAATAATTTCTTTAGGTTTAAAATGTTAATTAGTAAATATTTTTTTAATTATTTTTAATTAGGGGACGGAACTGCGCATGTGAAGACATTTAAATCTAGTTTTTTTTCTATTTTCTTTTAGTCTCGCATTTTCACGTCTTGCTTTAATTGCCTATTTTGTGGTAGTTGTATATACTAAAGTCTCTTGCATATTTATAGACTTCTTTTGATAGAGAATAACGCTTTTTTTCCTTTTTTATGATCCATTATGTGTTCTATCATACACCTGTATATCTGCAAATTGAAATTTTGTAAGATAATTCCAGTTGCTCGCATCACCACAGCTCTTTGGCAGATTAGGGTGGTGCATTCTATAGCATGTGGTTTTTTGCGTCTATTTCCTTGAGTTCCTTTAAGTTCCAATTTACCGGGAAGGGAAAACTCAACACCACCAACTCAATACCACCGACTCAACACCTCCAACTGAACATCGCTGACTGAGCGACGGTAGACAATTCATGACTGAGACAATTCAGCACCTGGAAAACAGCTTTTTTTTTATACCATAATAAAAACAATTTATTAAGGATTAAAATCTTCTTTAAAAGATATTTTGTAATAATTTTTACTTAGGAGACGAAACTGGGCATCTAAAGGCGTTTACACCCAGTTGTCTTCTATTTCCTTTTGGCCTTGCATTTTTATATCTTGTTTTCATGTACCTTAATTCCTGGTGATCTCTCTCTGTGAGACTTGGTTAACTCGAGTTGTATTTATTTATTATTTATTTTTTTTTAAGCATTTCATCTCAATAAAGTCGGGAGTGCGACTAGCACGCAAGGGGTTATAGAGAGTGAAAGTAAGAGTAAAAAGGGGTGTTTGAGGAAAGGATAAAGAGAAGGACGTGATCCGAGATCAAGTCAACAGAAGATGTCGATTGACATTACATTTAAATATTTGAAGATTATAATTATCAGGGAAGCAAGTAAGAGGAAGGGAGTTTCACTGTAGGGAAGTGAAAGAGAATCAGCTGTTAGAGTAGAAGAGACGGTTACGATTAACTGTTTCAACAGTGAATGGGTGGGACCAAGTTGCCAACCTAGTAGCAGACTTCAATTCATGCAGTTGGGGTACCAATGAATGTAGCTCGTCAGAGCAGACGCCATGAAAATATTTGTAGAAACGCAGAGGAAGGCCACATCACGTCGGTGAGAAAATTACTTTTTTAATAATATATTTCCATCGGTGTTCTTGGATGTTTACCTAATTTTCTTTGTTATTATTGCTATTATTATTAGTAGTAGTAGTAGTATTACTAGTAGAAGAGGGAGGAGGAGTGGTGGTGGTTGTAGTAGTACTAGTAGTATTAGTAGTAAAGAGAGATTGCTAAACCAAATAAGTTATTTTGGGAAACAAATATGCAAAACCCAATATACACATTATGACATCCAGACTAATAAAGGTATACCAAACACATACACCACAGCCAAATGTACGTGATACGATGACAGATTTTGGTAAAAGCTGCGCACAAACTTGCGGTTCGGGCCCAGTTCGAAAATAACTTTAGCTGCGGAAATCCAGTCAACCCAACCTCATCATGTTGGTTACCTTAATACGTCTTCTTATAAACAAATATACAAAAACATGCACAGATTCTAGCAAACATACCAAGCTAGGTAATAAAGGAAGGCGTGACGAAAGGAGTAAATGTTAATTATGTATGACTGTTAGCAAACTCTTGCACATTTCCAAATCTACCATTCGTCTTTGCATTGAATATTGCTGTCATATCTGGTCTGGTACTCTTGTTACTTATCTCGAAGATCTTAAAAAATCCCAAGAAGGATATTATTGTAAAGAGGTTACAAGTGAAGAAACAGCAACATGTACGTAGATGAAAGAAGAGAGATTTATTGTAAAAGAAAATACACTACTGAAAGACAGGGAATCAGGTGGCAGGCTAGTAATTCCCGAAGCAAAGATATTTATCTCCCCCCCACCACCACCACCGCGTGGCAGCATGTGGCACAAAGCCGTTTTTAATGCGGGGTCAAAAGCGAACCCTTAGGCACAGGCAAAAATTCCTCGTAGACCCCGCATACACGGACGAGACTCTGCCCTTCAGCATAGCCTAGTCTGCTTTCCACTCTGGCCGAGAGCAGAGAGTTCGACCAGCAGAGATCGAGACGAATCTCCAACTAATTCCCGAAGCAAGGTTATTTACCTTACCTCCTCGCGAGGCAGAATGTGGCCCAAGACCTATTTTAGTGCGGGTCAAAACCGATTCTGTAGGCTTGGGCAAAGATTCCCTGTAGACCCCTTATACGCGGGGTCGGGTAGCTGTTTACCACCCCTTCGGCCTAGCCTAGTCTGGGTTCCTCCCTACTCGAAGGCAGAGAGTTCGACCAGTACAGCTGGAGACGTATCTCCATTCCCGAAGCAAAGTCCACAGGTATATCCTGTGCTCACTATATATATCTACTGATATAGTCAGCCTCATAGTCAGTCGACCCAGTACTTTCTGAGCGACTGTTCGGTTGTACTCTCTTCCTACGGACGGGAAGAAACCCGAAGGAGGCTACGCCGAAGAGCGGAGTCTCCTTCGGGGAGGTAAAACCGGCCCTGAACCCATTTATACAGGTTCAATGGGCATATTTTTGGCCGAGCCCACGGGCTCGGAATGCCCACGTTAAAAAGGCCTTGTGCCACATGACACCCTCGTGGGGAGGTGACTGAATATCGTCAGCCTCATAGGTGATAGGGTGTGTGGGACATTCCATTACAACAGATCTATAACGTAATCTGTCCTGATTTGACATCCCGATATCAGTCACTTTCTCACCGACTTGACGTGGCTTCCCTCTGTCTTTTTAACAAATATTTTTCATGACGATTGCCCTGACGAGATTTGTTTCCCAGGTTCCACACCTAGATAAATTTAAGCATGCCACGATAATGGCATTTAGGCCGCCATGATTATTCCAGGAGGTTCTTTTCTCGCACTTCTCGCTTGTGAAACTCCCTTCCGTATACTTTTTCCTTGATAACTACAATTTTCAAAAAGCTTAAATGCAAGGTCAGTGGCCATCTTCTGTCTCCTTGAATCCCGTTCATCTTTGGGTAGAGAGGGGATTGATGAAAAAACAAAATATGAACGGGATTCAAGAAGACAGAATATGGCCACTGACCTTGTATTTAAAATCTTTTCTCTCACTTTTACTCCGTGTAACCGCCCCTAGCGTACTAGTGACGTTCCCGTTTTGCGTAGGATGATATAATAAAATTGAAAATTGAACAACCTAGCAAGCAAATTACAATTTTGAGATACCAAAAGTACAAAAATTTAAATATCTAGCAAATGTTTTAACAGAAGACGGAACATGCGAGTTTGGATAGCGAAAGACGCCTTTCAGGATTAAAAAAAAAAACAGTAACATTTCCTTAGAAACAAAAATTAAATCTATTGAGTGTAACATCGAGCTTCCTATATCCGTGTTCGGCGGAGGATATATGCTGGCCAATTGCACCTTCGTATCAAGCCACGTGATTCTTCAGCATAGCTAAGTCTCCAGTATCAGTTTTTGGCCGACTCTCATTCATTGACAATGAGCATATGTGCGCCTGTGTCGAAGCTGATCCACATTTGACAATACCGGAACTAGCTGAGAAGTTTGTCGTCAGCCATTTTGCATCACTTAGACGAAATTGTCCAAATGCTTCAAAACGTCCTATTTGCTAAGTGGATGTTTGGATGCCACGTAAACTGACAGATTGTGACCGTCGACGCCTCAAAGCCTGCGCAGCACCACTCCCCAAGGTGCGCCGTTTTGATTGGCTTAACAAAATGTTTACTGCAGCTGAACAAATTGTATCTGTGCTCGAACGTGATATGCAGAAGAAGCTGGAAGGACAAGGGTGCAACTATCCAACCCCGGACAAAGACCGACCTACAAAGAAAGAATGTCATGGTTTATGAGATGCGAAAGGCGTGATTCCCGGGAAATGCTGGCACGCAATCAGTCTATCAACGCTTAACTATACTGTCAACACCTTTAACGTGTCACTGTCACTATTGCAAAAAAGGAAACGCCCAGAATTGACTGATGTCATGTTACTTCAAGTTAGCGCCCGACCACACGTTGCAAAGCTCACCAGTGAACATTTTCTGGAACTGGTTGGAAAGATCTCCCTCGCCTTCTCATCCCTACTCCCGTTCTCGTCCGACATTGGTCCAACAAAATATCGTCTATTCCTTACTCAGCAGTACTTATTGAATGGCAAAACGCTTGCCAATGATAATGAACTGAAAACTGGAATTGCTGATTTCTGCGATAGTAAGCCGATTAAATCTTACAAGGGGGTCGATGACCTACACTGTCATTGGAAACAGGTGATCAAAAATAATGATGATTATAGTGATATGTGCTCTTTAAAGTATTGTGTGGTTGTATATCGTTGTATATCGTTGTTAATTAAAAAAAATCCCAGCATAACAATTGTTTCCAAACCAATCGGGGCCACTAAAATCAAGCAATTCAGGAAATTCAAATATTTGGGAAGTATTTTGACAGAGGAAGTTAAGAGCGACGCTGCGATCCGAAGACGTATTGAGATGTCCAAAGACACATTCCAAAAGCTAGGCAGAATATTAACAGACAAGAGGATTTCTTTGTTACCAAAGAAAAGAGTACTAAGCAGCTATATGACATCTGTTCCCCATTTAAGGCGGCGAATGTTGGACGGTCTCCTCAAATTGAAGAAGAGACTCGAGGCGGCGGAAGCATGGTTCTACTGAAGGATGCGGTTTTGGAGAGAATGCAAACAAGAAGGAAGCTTATAATCAGCATCCGGAAGAGGCAGCTGAAATTTCTGGGAGAGGTAATGAGAAAGGAGGAGATTGGAGAATCTGATACACACAGGTCGAATAGAGGGAAAGAGAAACAAAATAAAGCATTACACTATTGTCTTCATCTTTGTCGCCATATTTATTACATTTCGGCCGTTAGAATGTCGAACTGAACTCTTTATTTCGCTCAATGGGCTAGACTGTTCTAGTTCCACGTGACATATTTAATGGATGTCAGTTGTCAGTTATCTCCTGTTAATTCCCCTCTCCACTTTCTCCACTGTGCCATGTGTCCTTGAGGACATCTGTGTATCAATTTCTGGGTTTTATAAACCTAATGTCATCAACAACGATTTTTACCAGTGCTCATATTGCAATTTTTGCTGTTATCATTACATGTTTAAACCAGAGCTCATATTGCAATTTTTGTTGTTATTATCGCTTTTCTTTGGCACTCCTTATTACTGGTTCGCATATTGTATGCATTTCTATGCTTGGTCGGCATTCCAACCGCTTGAAGAAAGCCGAAGCGTACAATGGCCGAAACGTTGTAATAAATATGGCAACAAAGATGAGAACAATAGTCCGAATAATGTAAACAGTGTACATAATACCTCATCTCAGAAATATAGACAGATACTGAAAAGCCTAAACGTTGTAATAAATATGGCGACAAAGATGAGGACAATAGTCCGAATAATGTAAATAGTGTACTATGTACACTATTTACCCCATCTCAGAATTATAGACAGATACTGAAGGGCAGAAACGTTGTAATAAATATGGCAACAAATATGAGGACAATAGTCCGAATAATGTAAATAGTGTACATAATACCTCATCTCAAAAATATAGCCAAATAATAAAGCATTGTGTGACATACCTAGCGGGCTTAAGCAGTGGATGACAGAGCATGGCCTGGGAGGAAGTAGCAAAGGACCAAAACTTATTGAGAGCTACAAGGGATAGGGGGAAGTGGAGAACCATGACTGCCTACACCCTGAAGAGACACGGTACATAAAAAGAAAGAATATCTGGCCATTAAATGAAGACGTTAAGATTGAAGTGTTCAGGGAAACCTCCAGGTGGGAGTTTCTTCTACTTGTAGCCTTGCTTGGGGAAAGGATATCCAACTATAACTTTCTTTTTACATTTGGAATACGGGGGAAATGATAGTGAATCGAGTCGGTGGAAGTAACATAGCGTTTCATTTCTGGAAATGTCTGGAGGGGCGAAACGAAATAATGGATCTCATTTGAACGCTTGCCATAGATAACAATTGTCTAGTGGTATGCTTGCAACGTTACTACTGTATGCAAAAAGATAGCAAAGAAGACAATAAACATTCCACCACAAAACCGCGTAAACTGTTTCTAACTTTATCCAGAGTGGAATTTGAGAATGGACCAGCTTCAAGTCTACCGAGGCTTTCTTTCTAACAATGACCCCACGACGTCATTGTTGTTAATATATATTGTTTTTTGGTTTGGTTTGATTAGTTTTACAGCATATCAACCTCAATGGGTTATTTAATGTCCACAAGATTTTTATTGCTGGTTTGGATTGGTCTGATTTGTTATACGGCATATCAACCTCAATGGGTTATTTAATGCCAACAAGATTTTCATTGCTGGTTTGGTTTGGTTTGTTTTGTTTTACGGCATATCAACCTCAATGGCTTATTTAATGCCGACAAGATTTTAATTGATGGTTTGGTTTGATTTGATTTGTTTTACGGCATATCAACCTCACTTGGTTATTTAATTCCGACAAGATATTTATTGCTGGTTCGGTTTGATTTGATTTGTTTTACGGCATATCAACCTCAATGGGTTATTTAATGCCGACAAGATTTTTATTGCTGGTTTGGTTTGGTTTGTTTTACGGCATATCAACCACAATGGGTTATTTAATGCCGACAAGATTTTTATTGCTGGTTTGGTTTGCTTTGTTTTGTTTTACGGCATATCAACCTCAATGGGTTATTTAATGCCGACAAGATTTTTATTGATGGTTTGGTTTGATTTGATTTGTTTTACGGCTTATCAACCTCAATGGGTTATTTAATGCCGAAAAGATTTTTATTGCTGGTTTGGTTTGGTCTGATTTGTTATACGGCATATCAACCTCAATGGGTTATTTAATGCCAACAAGATTTTCATTGCTGGTTTGGTTTGGTTTGTTTTGTTTTACGGCATATCAACCACAATGGGTCATTTAATGACGACAAGATTTTTATTGCTGGTTTGGTTTGGTTTGTTTTGTTTTACGGCATATCAACCTCAATGGGTTATTTAATGCCAACAAGATTTTTATTGCTGGTTTGGTTTGGTTTGTTTTGTTTTACGGCATATCAACCTCAATGGCTTATTTAATGCCGACAAGATTTTAATTGATGGTTTGGTTTGATTTGATTTGTTTTACGGCATATCAACCTCACTGGGTTATTTAATTCCGACAAGATATTTATTGCTGGTTCGGTTTGATTTGATTTGTTTTACGGCATATCAACCTCAATGGGTTATTTAATGCCGAAAAGATTTTTATTGCTGCTTTGGTTTGTTTTGTTTTACGGCATATCAACCACAATGGGTTATTTAATGCCGACAAGATTTTTATTGCTGGTTTGGTTTGCTTTGTTTTGTTTTACGGCATATCAACCTCAATGGGTTATTTAATGCCGACAAGATTTTTATTGATGGTTTGGTTTGATTTGTTTTGTTTTACGGCTTATCAACCTCAATGGGTTATTTAATGCCGACAAGATTTTTATTGCTGGTTTGGTTTGGTTTCTTTTGTTTTACGGAATATCAACATCAATAAGTTGTTTAATGCCAACAAGATTTTTATTGTAGGTAATATTTTTTCCTAAAATATATTGCTGGTAATATTTTTTTTCAAAAATGTATTGCTGGTATTAAGAAAATTTTTATACTTTTATAGCGTGTGGCTCCCTATTGGGGGTTAGCCGTTTGCCCATAGCTGGGATCCTGACAGGTGATACAACCCTGGGTCAGAGTGGTCCTGGAAACACTAGCAATTAAGAGAGGTTTCCTCGCTCTTCAAAACCTCCTGATCAGTGACCTTGTTGTTGAATGTAGTTTATCGTCTTACGCGGACGTAGTTTATATTTATACCAGGTCAATTGTTTCTTGTTCAAAATGGTTTCGTTATTTTTTTCCTCGTCTCTTGTGATGTTTTATTTCCAAAAAACTCATTTTCAGATATTTGCATTAGTTAAGCTCACTGTATCAAAATTTGATTATTTATTTTATGGGATTGATCGTAGAGTTGTTTACTCTTGGATTCTCCACGGTGATTTTATTGAGGCAACACCTCTAGTAAACCGGCCGTTCACTCGCCAACAGTTCCTAACCTGCTTGAGTGAAAGACGACATTTCGTAACAGCCACAAATAAGAGGAAAATGTGGAGCAACATAATCACTAACCTCCTGAAGGGACACATCACATATAAGAAGATGTCAAAAGGGCACTGATAAATGCATCAGTAACAACAATTGTTTATGTTTTTTGCATTATAACAGAGTCAAATACCGGAAGTAACCTATAGCAGGAAAAGACAAACTGAAATCACCGGAAATAAGCAGTGGCGAGGACAGCCAAGCGGCTATCAGCGAGATAGATTATATAAGTTGAACAGACACAATTATTTTTAATTTTTTGAAATACATGTCAAAATCTAGATATATTTCGAAAGCTAAGAAAATGAATATACTAAAGTTTTTGATATGTTCCAATAAAGATTCAAAGGGTTAAATTTATCTTAAATCGTTTTAAAAATTATAGCGACCTCTAAATCCTAGAAAACTTACTGCTTCTTTGAGAGATCATGGCGGCTCTGGGAAGGGCTTTACCACCGACGTTGAAAGTCACTGTTTTAATCCACTATTTTCTTTCGGTTTTTAATTACCCCTCTCACACATATCATGTCCCTCTTGTTCTTTAGTTGTTTTTTTTTCCTGGAATTTCTTTTTTTTGTGTGTTTTTCTATCCACTCTTTTTTTTTTTTTTCGAATTTTTATTTTCTTTCTCTTCTTTGAACTTCGTTTCAAATTCTTTCTTTTCTTCAGAAGTTTCTTGAACATTGTTATTATACCCTTACAGCCAACGGGCTATATTTTCTTTCTTGTCTGCATTCATTTGTTTCATTTTCTAAAAGTTCGTTATTTACCCTCTTTTTTTTCTTTTTCTTTATGTCATTCGCTTTCTTTAATTTTTCTTCCAGCCTTTCTTCTTTCTTTTTTTCAAAATAATTTCTCTTCTTTAATTCCTTTATTAATTTTTTTTTCTTTGTCACTTATTCGTTGTTCTTCTCTCTCCTATCAATTTCGTTTGTCTCTTTCCTTCTTTCATATTTTTCTACATGGCCTCAAATATTCCTTTTTTTTTTCTCATGTTTCTTTTTCCTCCTTGTTTACTTTTTGCTTTCCTTCTCGGCCATTTTCTCTTCTTATTATTATTTTCTCTTTTCCTTCTTTTCTTTGTTCTTTTCTTTCTCCCTTTCTTTGTTTATATCTTTATTTCTCATCGCTCAACTCCCGCATTGATTTTATCCAAAGACTTTACTTCTTTCTTTCTTTCGTTCTTTCCTTCTTTTTTCTGCGCTTGTTCGTTACTTTCTTTCTTATAACCCGTATCCCTCATTGATTTCTTATAAGGCTTTTTCTTTCTTTCTTCTATTTTCCTTTCCTTATTCTTTCTGACTTTTTCTTTCTTTCTCTCTATCTTTCTTTCTTTCTTTCTTTCTTTCTTATTTTTTCTTTTTTGTTCCTTATTATTTTTCTTTCATTCTTTCTTTTATTCTTGTTCGATTGCTACCTACTTTCTTTCTTATATCACACATTCCTCATTGACGTCATATAATTGTTTTCTTTCTTTCTCTCTTTCTTTCTTTCTTTCTTTCTTTCTTTCTTTCGTAACTTGTCTTCCTTTTCATTTTCATCCTTTTCTTTTCCATTATTTCCGTTCTTGTCTTTTCTTCTTTTGCTTTCTTTCTTTTTTCTATCATTTTCTTTCTTTCTTTCTTTCTTTCTTTCTTTCTTTCTTTCTTTCTCTCTTTCTTTCTTTCTTTCTTTCTTTCGTGACTTGTCTTCCTTTTCATTTTCATTCTTTTCTTTTCCATTATTTCCGTTCTTGTCTTTTCTTCTTTTGCTTTCTTTCTTTTTTCTATCATTTCCTTTCTTTCTTTCTTTCTTTCTTTCTTTCTTTTTTTCCTTCTTTCTTTCTTTCTTTCTTTCTTTCTTTCTTTCTCCAAAACATCTCTTTATTTTCCTTTTATATATTCTTCCTGTCCTGTCTTCTTAGCTCCACTCTTTTCCTTTATTGTTTTTATCTTCTTCATTTTTTCCTCCGTTTCTCATTCTTTCAGTTTTTTTCTTTATTTTTTCATTCATTGCTCTCTTTCATTTTGCTTACATCTCATCGAATCTTTTTTAAAATTTTCTCCGTCTTATTTTTGCTTCTGTATAACTGTACACTTTTGCTCCTTCCCTGCGTTTTTCCTCCCTTCTTTCCTTGCTTCTTCTCACCCTTTTTCCTTCCTTTCATTCCTTCATCTATCCATTCCTTCTTTCCTTTATTCCCCCATTGTAAACTTCTCTGCCTCCATTCTCTCCAGGGACCCCATTAGCACGGCACTTGACCGAGTGATACCACAAATTCGTAGCAATTAAATACAATGAATATCGATTAATAGACCCGACATCATTTTGTATCTCGCCTTCTAAATCTTATCTTCCTTATCAGAATGCATAATGCGAGCATGTCTTCGAATAACTAACAGAAATAATAATCGAAAGTCCTTTACTGTTCTTTTTGCGGATTCTTTGGGTGTCATTCGTTAAATACATTCGTTTATTCCTTTGTTTCTCACTTATTCTATTCCTTTGGAAACAAGCCTGACAAATGAAATGTTCAGTCATTTTCTGACACATTTATTCCTGTTATTTATCCTCTCCCCGCTCCTTGAATATTTTCGTTTATTTTCTGCTTCCCATATTTCATTCAGGCATCACTTCAGTCATTAAGTCACGAGTCTAGTAACCGATTAGGGTCTAAGGGACACCACATGTACTGCAGCTGCAGTAACAGTGATATGTCCTGGGCATGATAGCCTAACGCAGACCAATCCTCTCCAGGATATTTCTAATTCAGATTAGCTTTTCCTAGACTAGGCGCCAAAAAAGGCTAGTCTAGGAAGTTGGCATTAAATAACCCATTGAGGATGATATGCCGTAAACCAAAAACAAAGCAAACCAAACCAACCAACCGTAAAAACAAACCAAACCAAACCAAAGCAAAAAATAAAAACCCTTGAGGTATATGCCGTAAAACAAACCAAACCAAACCAAACCAACAATAAAAATTTTGTCGGCATTAAACCAAACCCATTGAGGTTGATATGTCGTAAAACAAAACAAACCAAACCAAACCAAACCAAACCAACAAACAAAAAATTTTGTCGGCATTAAATAACCCATTGAGGTTGATATGCCGTAAAACCAAACCAAACCAAACCAAACCAACAAAAAAAATTTTGTCGGCATTAAATAACCCATTGAGGTTGATATAGCGTAAAAAAACCAAACCAAACCAAACCAAACCAACAATAAAAATTTTGTCGGCATTAAATAACCCATTGAGGTTGATATGCCGTAAAACAAACCAAACCAAACCAAACCAACAATAAAAATTTTGTCGGCATTAAATAACCCATTGAGGTTGATATGCCGTAAAACAAACCAAACCAAACCAACAATAAAAATTTTGTCGGCATTAAATAACCCATTGAGGTTGATATGCCGTAAAACAAACCAAACCAAACCAAACCAAACCAACAATAAAAACCATTAAAAACCCATTGAGGTTGATATGCCCAAACCAACAACAAAAAATTTTGTCGGCATTAAATAACCCATTGAGGTTGATATGCCGTAAAACAAACCAAACCAAACCAACAATAAAAATTTTGTCGGCATTAAATAACCCATTGAGGTTGATATGCCGTAAAACAAACCAAACCAAACCAAACCAAACCAACAATAAAAATTTTGTCGGCATTAAATAACCCATTGAGGTTGATATGCCGTAAAACAAACCAAACCAAACCAACAATAAAAATTTTGTCGGCATTAAATAACCCATTGAGGTTGATATGCCGTAAAACAAACCAAACCAAACCAAACCAAACCAACAATAAAAATTTTGTCGGCATTAAATAACCCATTGAGGTTGATATGCCGTAAAACAAACCAAACCAAACCAAAAAACAATAAAAAACAAACCAAACCAAACCAAACAATAAAAAATTTTGTCGGCATTAAATAACCCATTGAGGTTGATATGCCGTAAAAAAACCAAACCAAACCAAACCAAACCAACAATAAAAATTTTGTCGGCATTAAATAACCCATTGAGGTTGATATGCCGTAAAAAAACAAACCAAACCAAACCAAAACCAAACCAACAATAAAAATTTTGTCGGCATTAAATAACCCATTGAGGTTGATACGTAAAACAAAACCAAACCAAACCAAACCAACATAAAAATTTTGTCGGCATTAAATAACCCATTGAGGTTGATATGTAAAACAAACAAACCTAACCAAACCCAACCAACAATAAAAATTTTGTCAGCATTAAATAACCCATTGAGGTTGATATGCCGTAAAACAAAACAAACCAAACCAAACCAAACCAACAATAAAAATTTTGTCGGCATTAAATAACCCATTGAGGTTGATATGCCGTAAAACAAACCAAACCAAACCAAACCAAACCAACAATAAAAATTTTGTCGGCATTAAATAACCCATTGAGGTTGATATGACGTAAAAACAAACAAACCAAACCAAACCAAACCAACAATAAAAAATTTTGTCGGCATTAAATAACCCATTGAGGTTGATATACCGTAAAACAAACCAAACCAAACCAAACCAAACCAACAATAAAAATTTTGTCGGCATTAAATAACCCATTGAGGTTGATATGCCGTAAAACAAACCAAACCAAACCAAACCAAACCAACAAAAAATTTTGTCGGCATTAAATAACCCATTGAGGTTGATATGTAAAAAAACCAAACCAAACCAAACCAAACCAACAATAAAAATTTTGTCGGCATTAAATAACCCATTGAGGTTGATATGCCGTAAAACAAACCAAACCAAACCAAACCAAACCAACAATAAAAATTTTGTCATTGAGGTTGATATAAAACAAACCAAAACCAAACCAAACCAACAACAAAAATTTTGTCGGCATTAACAAACCCATTGAGGTTGATATGCCGTAAAACAAACCAAAAAACAAACCAAACCAAACCAAACCAAACCAACAATAAAAATTTTGTCGGCATTAAATAACCCATTGAGGTTGATATGCCGTAAAACAAAAAACAAACCAAACCAAACCAAACCAACAATAAAAATTTTGTCGGCATTAAATAACCCATTGAGGTTGATATGCCGTAAAAACAAACCAAACCAAACCAAACCAAACCAACAATAAAAATTTTGTCGGCATTAAAAACCCATTGAGGTTGAATGCCGTAAAACAAACCAAACCAAACCAAACCAAACCAACAAAAATTTTGTCGGCATTAAATAACCCATTGAGGTTGATATGCCGTAAACAAAACCAAACCAAACCAAACCAAACCAACAATAAAAATTTTGTCGGCATTAAATAACCCATTGAGGTTGATATGCCGTAAACAAACCAAACCAAACCAAACCAAACCAAACCAACAATAAAAATTTTGTCGGCATTAAATAACCCATTGAGGTTGATATGCCGTAAAACAAACCAAACCAAACCAAACCAAACCAACAATAAAAATTTTGTCGGCATTAAATAACCCATTGAGGTTGATATGCCGTAAAAACATTAAAAAACCAAACCAAACCAAACCAAACCAACAATAAAAATTTTGTCGGCATTAAATAACCCATTGAGGTTGATATGCCGTAAAACCAAAAACCAAACCAAACCAATAAAAACCAAACCAAACCAAACCAACAAAAAATTTTGTCGGCATTAAATAACCCATTGAGGTTGATATGCCGTAAAACAACCCAAACCAAACCAAACCAAACCAACAATAAAAATTTTATCGGCATTAAATAACCCATTGAGGTTGGTTGATAAAAAAAACAAACCAAACCAAACCAAAACAACAATAAAAATTTTGTCGGCATTAAATAACCCATTGAGGTTGATATGCCATAAAACAAACCAAACCAAACCAAAACAAACCAACAATAAAAATTTTGTCGGCATTAAATAACCCATTGAGGTTGATATGCCGTAAAACAAACCAAACCAAACCAAACCAAACCAACAATAAAAAATTTTGTCGGCATTAAATAACCCATTGAGGTTGATATGTAAAACAAAACAAACCAAACCAAACCAAACCAACAATAAAAATTTTGTCGGCATTAAATAACCCATTGAGGTTGATATGCCGTAAAACAAAACAAACCAAACCAAACCAAACCATAAAAATTTTGTCGGCATTAAATAACCCATTGAGGTTGATATGCCGTAAAACAAACCAAACCAAACCAAACCAAACCAACAATAAAAATTTTGTCGGCATTAAATAACCCATTGAGGTTGATATGCCGTAAAAAAACAAACCAAATGCAACAAAAAATTTTGTCGGCATTAAATAACCCATTGAGGTTGATATGCCGTAAAACAAAACAAACCAAACCAAACCAAACCAACAATAAAAAACCAACAATAAAAAATTAAATAACCCATTGAGGTTGATATAACCCGTAAAACAAACCAAACCAAACCAAACCAAACCAACAATAAAAATTTTGTCGGCATTAAATAACCCATTGAGGTTGATATGCCGTAAAACAAAAAACCAAACCAAAAACCAAACCAACAATAAAAAATTTTGTCGGCATTAAATAACCCATTGAGGTTGATATGCCGTAAAACAAACCAAACCAAACCAAACCAAACCAACAATAAAAATTTTGTCGGCATTAAATAACCCATTGAGGTTGATATGCCGTAAAACAAACCAAACCAAACCAAACCAACAATAAAAATTTTGTCGGCATTAAATAACCCATTGAGGTTGATATGCCGTAAAACAAACCAAACCAAACCAAACCAAACCAACCAACCCATTGAGGTTGATATAAAACAAAACAAACCAAACCAAACCAAACCAACAATAAAAATTTTGTCGGCATTAAATAACCCATTGAGGTTGATATGCCGTAAAACAAACCAAACCAAACCAAACCAACAATAAAAATTTTGTCGGCATTAAATAACCCATTGAGGTTGATATGCCGTAAAAACAAACAAACCAAACCAAACCAATAAAAATTTTGTCGGCATTAAATAACCCAACGTAAAACAAAAAACAAACCAAACCAACAATAAAAAAACCATTAAATAACCCATTGAGGTTGAATGCCGTAAAACAAACAAAACCAAACCAAACCAAACCAAACAACAAAAAATTTTGTCGGCATTCAATAACCCATTGAGGTTGATATGCCGTAAAACAAACCAAACCAAACCAAACCAAACCAACAATAAAAATTTTGTCGGCATTAAATAACCCATTGAGGTTGATATAGCGTAAAACAAACCAAACCAAACCAAACCAAACCAACAATAAAAATTTTGTCGGCAT